CACCTGGTAAAGCTGTCAAGTGAAACGCCCTAAGCTGATGTGTCACTATGGAACCAGAACTTTCTTTAAAGTCGCATTTATTTAAGTAACATTTGACTTTGGTACCGTCTACCAAATGGCTTTAAGCAGATGCACTTGGTTTTCGGTGTCACGAACTCCCTCCAACCGGCCTTTGCTTCGAAATGGAAAGTCGAATCCCACCGCCTAGATTAGTGCCCAAGTGGTATGTAGTTGATGCAAAGGCCTTCAAGCTGACGAGTTTTCGTGCGTCAAAAGTCGAGTCACGCCTAAAGTGGAACATGCAAGACTTCAGCTACAGCCTCGAAAGTGTTTGACAGTTTCCGCATCGGTGACCCACCTCAGCACAGACCGGCAAGCCCATGTTTGTGATCGGATGACCGCACTTGAAGATCTCCTGTTGCCTCAAACGGACGGTGGGAAGAATGGAGCGTGACGTTCGCACCGTCGGGCCAGCCGAGCGAAGTCTGGAGGCCGAGCCGCGACGTAAACCAATCGCACCGTGCCTCAACGACTCAACGCGGAGTTCGCCACTCTCGTCGACGTCCTGCTCCCTGTTCTCGAGCTCAAGACCGACTGATCGACTCTTGCGTCGACCTTTCGGTTGTCTCGCAGTAACGGTCCGCTCGCCGGTATGCACCTGGGGCCCACTGTGACGAGAAGATGGGCCGCCAGGAGAATAGTGACGCCGTGAAGATGAGTAGGACTCGACGCCGTGACGATCGCCACTGGCGGCGCCGACGATTCCACCGATGTTCCGGTCGACGGCGTTCAGTCGGAGCGGATTCAGCACCCAGCTCGGTGGATAGCAGATGCCGCGCACCTCGCCTTCTGCACTGACGACCTGGAAGTGTGAAAAATGACAGTTACCTCCTTCAGCACTCAACACCTTGGCATGGAATTGGTACAGATGGTAGGCAAGTTTCGGGAAAAATGAATAAAAATTGGTTTTAAATGAGTCTCATGAGATAACGTTGTTAGACAGACCTTCATGTCACATAAAAGTGCATGAGAAAAATGGCCGATTCCCACTCTTCTGCAGTTACTTAGCTCCAATACGAAGTTGAAGCAGTCCACGAGATCTCCTCCCTCGTTTCTAATGAAAACGTGCTGAACTTTCGTCCATCATTCGATGGACATTGTCAGAGCTAAAACATATTCCTACTTACTATATCTTACTTCTTATATAAACTCACCTAAAAAATGAAATTGTATAAGCATAAATAGGTATAGAATAGTATGTCTAGTTATCCTTCATGCTTGCCACGCTACTTTTACTCGTGTGTGTGTCAGTGTGATTAAAAAAGCAAATGTCAGGCTCTGGTCATCAAGACTTAACAACTTAAGAAAAAACCTCGACCAGATTTCACAAGTCCTTAGGCGTCTCAACTTTGAGATAACGGGACTGTCACAATCACGCAATTGGGAGTCGGTAAGGTTTAACAACCCATAGAAGACATGATTGGGTCTGCATAATCTCGTACGTCTGGTTTGGTTGAGGAGTTAAATCTCATATATCTGGTACACTGGTAGTCTTGAAAATCTACTTAAAACGAAAAATGAGTAATCTAGTTGATTGCTATAGCGAAAATAACTTTGTTTCATCAACAATCCCACCACCGAGTGCGATATGGGAAAAATACCTGGCACAAGGGTACCAATTGCAATGTGGTTAATATGTCGAAATTATTTTCTGAACTGTCATGGTTAGAGTCTCGCCGAGGGTGTTGATGAGATCATTTTAGGCGTGGTTAAACCTGTAGTTTATTCCTACCTTTTTTGAATGCAAGGCAGTGTGAAATTCAGTGGAAATATAAGCGCTACTTGTATCATTGTGGAAAAATTCAACTTGCATAAAATAGGGCTAATACGCCTCATATATATGATCTACTAGTAGTCTCAAAGCCTATATATAAACGAGAAATTATCTTTTTTTGTGTGTGTATGCTAAAGAGCGAACTAAAAAGTGTATGAAGCATGATCGTAATTAGAACTATGGCCAGTAAAAGACTAGTTAATCGCTTCCTCTTATAGGCGGTGCGACACCCTCTCCATCCTTAAATCTATCAAATAACCATTATTGGTTGCCAATTAACTTTTGGCATTCAATGTATTCCATAAACTGTTGATTTTACTGGCCTGTCCAACTTTGCGTTTAGTTGCAGACACGCTTGAATCGGCAAAACAAGAAGATTGAAATCGTCTAATCTTTTATCCAATCTGTGCCGTGTGTTAAGCTACTCCTGATTTCGGAAACCAACAGCCGATACAGGCACTTTTGTCTTCAACCATCCTTTGTCGAACGGGAGGACAAGTCTCTCTAAAGTGAAATCGACCACATGAAGTCATTATTTAATAGCAGCCGGACCTGTTTAATGGGTCAAATTTCACTATAAAATGGTGGAATAATGAATGAAAGTGCTAGAGTTTCAATGAGAAACGTTTGTATTTCCCAATTTCTAACTAGCTTCTTTATCTTCTTGGAGAGAGAGAGAGAAAGAGAAAATGAGAGAGAGAGAGAAAAAAAGAAGTAAAAGTGAGCATACAAGAAAAGACCTTGTATTTTATTTCTTCTCTTCTATCAACGCTGTCCTCATTTCCTGATCCAATTTTTCATCGAGTCTATACAATAATTATTCTTGCAGATTTACTGATAGCTTCGAAACCCAATTAATTTGCATATTTGTTTGGGCCTATGTGACTGGAGCTCAACAAGTTTAAAACAAGAGATTCCTCAAAACCCAATTTTTTCGATACCTCTTCGAAATTGTGCCATCATTCTTCTCAGCTTTCTGGTCTCAAGTTAGTGTTGAAAATAAGAAATTCAGATTTCGGATGAATAGGCCTCATAGATTTCGATGATCAAACGCCCTAGTGTACAGTTGCAGGCCGAAGTGGAAAAGAGCAGATGAGTGCGGTGAGTAAAGTGAAAGGAAGAAGCTGGCTGGACAATCGTCAGAATGGGCAGTGGCACGATGAAGTTGCCAGGCGGCCGAAGCTAAATGCTGATAGGAATATAGCACAAGTCGTAGAAGGCAAGTTCGGCTATTATAGCCGTGGGAAATGGTACAGAAGAGACGGCAGCGTTAGAAAGAATTGGTAGAAGATGAGCTAGTCGAATGTATACAAGCAACCTGATGAGACAAAGAAGATCTTATAGGATCCGAATTTGTGCGATCTGCTAGTGCATCAGATGTATTTATGGGGTAGTTGATGCTCCTCTAGTTAAGCTCATTTGGCAACCACAATTACAGAGATACCTTGATTGGAAGAATATGGAAGATGGGTAAAGTTAGGTGATAAATCAGCACTAAACAGCGTATGAAACATAACTGAGCAGCAAGAAAATGTACCCATCGTCCAACGAGATAAAAGTGATCTTCAGAAGTCCGAACATTGTAAAGAGTGAATGAATAATTTCTACCCAATCAGCTGCTTGCTCCCACTCTCGAGTGAAAACATTTTGTGATTCCGATTTCTTATGAAAGGGTTGATGGTTTGACCGAAACGCGAAGTTTTACATGTGCTCCAAAGGCTTGTCAAATTGAATCTCATGGCCTTTTTTGTAGCCGTCTTCTTGAAGATATTTTTTTCACAGACACTTTATCGAGGAACTTCAGCAGTGGATAGCAGCAGGGTACGTCGAGGACTACCATACTTGCGCTGATATTTGTGTGGAGCACAACTACAACAACACGTAGGAAAATCTTCATACGGTACTTGATAAGTCCAATCTAAGAATCCCGTCCAGTTACGTTCGCATAAGAAGTTAAAAGACATCAACATTTAAAATAAATTCTTTCAAAACAGGAGTTTCAACATGCTGTTATAAAGAGATACTTTAAGTACCATCACGAAACCCATCTTTATTTTGCTGTGAATGCTCCCTAAAATGAATCCAAAGTTGATATGCGAAGTTGGAGAAGTCGGAGAAAATTTCCAAAAGCCGCGCCGGCGGTTTCAGTCCTTTTGGAAATCTTGTGATAAAATGCTTTACGCGACAGTTTGTTTGACTTTTGAATAGATTTTAAAGCTCATGTGCATAATTAGGCATGTCACATATAAACTGCCCGCCGACATGAAAGGTCATATAATCAGCACGCTTTATCCTCACTAAATGGCTTCACCTGTTCTGGAGATGATAATGCCATTAAAGTTCTGGTGAGTTGTAATTTGTTCCAGGGACTCAGCGTCAACTTTTATTGCAGCAAAAAATGCTTAATAACCGGTTGTTAGCGTCATTTCTCCACAAAAGTGACTATCTCGACATGGCCAGCTCAGAAAACAACTCTGCTGCTTAGTCCTCCAGATCTGTGT